GCTAAGACTATTTGCGAGTCGCACCACAAGTGAGTTGCGGTAATTGGTCGGTGGATCTGCGCATTAACAAAGGCCGTTGCTCGCACACCCAAAAGCACCCCCATGAGTTCCATACGTGGTATAGTCATCGTTTCACGAGCTTTCCTTGGTTTAAGTCTCACTTTTGCAAACACAAGCTTGGCCTTTGACGCGGTTTTTAAATAGACTGCAGCAGCATAAGAAGTCTCGGAAGCATCAGTAAACACGTGTATTTGTATGTCGTTATTCTTCCCAAGCACGAAACGTTCCTGTCTGATGATGGCCCCATTCCAATCTGCGCAAATTCTTTTCCAATGTTCAGATTCTCCAATGGACAGTTCGGTATCCCATCCATGAGATTCATCCCATAACTTTTGAAAGAACTTCTTTGCCTCCAGAGTGCATGGTCCAATAAGTCCCAACGGATCAAAAATTCCAGCAAGCACACTCAGAACAGTGCGACGAGTGACAGGTGAATCGTTCTTGATCGTCGGGAGCTCGAAGGATATTTCGTCAGATTGAACGTCCCAGCTAATTCCAAGAACTTTAGCTTGTGTTTGCTCAAGTCGGTCCTCCTCCGGCAGTGCACTCATGACATCAGCTGAGCTGGAAATATATTCACGTAAGTTCATCTTTGCTTGTTTAAACAATTCTTTAGCAGCTATGGCTTTAGTTCTTGCTTCTTCCTCGCTTTCACACTCAATAAGCAGATTGTCCACATAAACATTTCTGAATAACACGGCATCTTGTTCGAGTCCAAATTTAGCCAAGTGAGCACGGATAACGGCCGCCAACATAAACGGGGATGAGACCACTCCAAAAGCCACACGACAAAATCGATAAACAGACAAGTTCTCGCCAGTTGGTGATTGCATAGGGTCCTTCGCCCACAGAAATTTGCACACCTCACGGTCCTCTGGTTCAAGTTCAATCATCAGAAAAGCCTTTTCGACGTCAGCCAGCACTGGTATTGAGCAGTTACGGAAACGGAGAAGCACACCAGCCAGATCAGGTAACAAAACCGGTCCACGATAGAGACAGTCGTTCAAACAAGCTTGGCCTTTAGGATGGGCACTAGCGTCATAAACCACTCTCAATTTTTTCGGAGTGATGACGGCATGGTGAGGCAGGTAGTGCTCGCGGCTACCCGGACTGCAACTTGTTTGTTCTATGATTCCTTGTTGTCGTTGCTCGTCGATAACTTCGTTGTACTTCTTAAGCTGACTTGGCTCGTTTCGTAGTCGATTGAGTGTAGCCACCAGTCGTCGATAGGCCATAGCAAAATTGGATGGTAACTCCGGACAAGGATCCCGCCACGGCCATTTCACACAGTAACGCCCATCCTCCAACTGCCGAATTGACTTGTCAACCATTTTCTCCGCCAGTTGGTCGTCGTCTTGTGCTGGGTCGTCCTTTATTCCAATAGTCTCCAGAGACCAAAATTCTTCGATTGTCGTTGCTGAAGGCATTTGTTCTTGATTATAAGGATTGACCGCCATTAACGATGAGGAAGTCCCAGTCAGAGCAGGTAAGTTCACTTCTCCCCCAAGTACAGGTCCAAGGACAGTTCGGATGACTGTAAATCCATGGTTGGTCATCTTACAGCCAATGAAGTACTTCCAAAATTCCCGCGTTCCAATTAGTATGTCCGGTTTTCCAATGTCCATTCTCAACACGTAACTATCCGAGCAGATGTCGCCTATGTATTTCGGAGTTTCCATTTGGGCGGCAATTTCTTCAATATAGTTGAGTTCAATTTTCTCCCATTGACCATCCAATCTCTTAAGTTGTAGTTTGTATCGCGCAGAATCAAAACATAACGGTTCTTTCTTTTCACCACCAAGTACATGGACACGCATCTTCTCAGACTGCTCTTTCTTCAAATCAAGTTGGCGAACAAGAGATCCCGAGATAAAACTAGTTTGACTGCCAGGGTCGAGGAAGACGACTGCCGTGGCTTGACGATTGCGTGCTCCCATAGGCCGGACAACCACTTCAGTAACCATGAGTAGCGCTCTTGGTCTGCTTGTCGGTTGTGCCTTGAGTTCAGTTGCTTTAGCAATAGCAGGTGGGTCTGTGGCCATTCCAGTGTGAGTAGTCGGTGCTTGTTTGAGTGTTGATACTTCGCGTGTTGATTGGCCAAGCGGTTGTGAGTTAGCTCCTGTTGGTCGTCCTGCGTTCGAGGTAGTGGTAGGCTGACTCCCATTTTGTGGTGCCTCAAGTCCCATATGTCCTTGTTTCATACACACGATAAAATGATGGCGGTTTTTGCATATACGGCACCTCTTCATGCTTTGGCATTGATTGAGAGTATGGTCGTTCCTGAGGCAATTGAGACATCTATGTTGTTCCAGTAAACGCGATTGACGTTTCTGCGGTGTATTCCATGTTGTACATTGACTTGGTAAGTGTTCGGACCCTGTACTGCATAGAGAACATCCTTTATCAATAGCCATGGATGGTGGTCGTGGAAGTCGTTCATAACGGTTGCTAGCTGGTTGGACCGCGATAAAAGAACGTGAAACTTGTGCTGGACGGTGTTGAGGTTGTCTGTCTTGAGGTTGACTTCGTTGGCGTTGGTCGTCTTCCCGAGGCCTTCGTTCAGGCACAGCCGGTCGCAAGGTCGTGATGGTTCTCTCCAAACGCTCTTTTCGTTGAACAATGCGTCCCAGTCCGGCGCGAAGGTGAGCCAAAGTCCATTCCTCATCGTCCTGCTCCCAACCAATCAAAATCTCCAAGGCTTCGCGTGGCAGCTTAGATCTGATTATTCCACACACGATTTCGTCCTGGGTTGCATTAGATCCCTCTGGTGATTCCAGCTGGAGACAAATTCTTTCCACATGTTCCCGGAGGTTACGCATTGAAAAAAGTGAGTTGTTAGCCACTTGGAGTTGTAAAAGCTCGGCAATCAGTCCTTCTCGCAAGGCTTTTCCATCGCCAAATTGACGCCGAAGTATGCTGACCACCATCGGGTAGTTCTCATCCGACGGCGGATAACCATCAATTGCACGTCGCGCAGCAGAACCAGGTACCAGACTTTGCAATAAACATAGGTGCTTCTCAAAAGGTGGAAGAGGTTGACTGTTGACAGCACGGTCGAATGCCAGCCAAAATGCAGTCCATTCCTTGGGATCGCCAGCAAACTTCATCGGTTCAAGACGAAAAGGCCTAAAGGTTGAGTAAATCGGTGCACCGTTGTACGTTCCCTGCTGTTGGTACGGTGAAAATCCGGCTTGACTTGCGGAGTTGGTGTGATGGGCACTCGTTCCATTACCAGTTGCTTGCTGTTCGTTAATCCGTGCTTGAGTTTGGCGTCGTAAAAATCCATCAGGGTGTTCAGGCGAGTAGTTTTGTTGACCATTATCTTGTGTGTGATGAGCCTGGCGACGTGCGTTATCATTTTGCTCTTTACCAACGGTGACGGACTTCTCAGTTCTTCGTGAGGAGACTGAACCACGATTGCCGACTCTGCGTTGCTGGAGGCAAACATTAACCAAGTCCACTAATTCATAGGAACGCTCAATCTGCGCCAACGCAGTAGGTTCATCATCCTCCCTGACTTCGCCTCTAGGCGGCGGAAAGGCTTGAAGGATGTCCATCTCGTCCTGTTGTTCCGTTGGCATGAGTCGCGCAATGAAGTCTGACCATTTGTCCACCAGTGCCTGTGCACGACCAGCAGCTTCTCTAAGTTGAACAGCATCTGCCTCCAAACGGTCATCTTCATCCACAGTGGTGTCAGTGGCATTCAACGCGGTTAACACGGCACGCCCTTTTACTTTGAGTGTTGATAAGACGGTTGCTAACTGGAGACGAATCACCGCTGACATGGTTAATTGGTGTAGCTCACTCAAAACAGGTAATTGTAGTCGTAGTTGTCCGACTTAACAAAAGGGGAACGGGTAGTTGATTGTTAAAGCCTATCGCACTAGCTGAAGGAGAGAAATAGCTATAACCCAGTTGCTTTACTGTTGTTGTGGTAGTTGGTGTTGTAGTTGACCACGACGGCGTCCCGGGTCGTGGCACCAGTTTGTCGGGAGACGGGCTTCCCGACAAATTGGATTTTTAGGATCGTGGCACCAGACTGTGTTGGTTGTGCCAACACAGTCAAATAACAGAAGGAGAACAGTAAGTGAACCTCGAGGCGGTTCACTTTTCCACTCAAACAAAATACAACGACAAGTCAACAATAAATTTACTTCTTCCACAAAAAATAATAGCCAAAAAAACAGAGCAGTAAAATAAATCGAGCACTAATTAAACAAAGGTAGAAGCCGCGGATCAGCCAACCAAAAGATGAGAGTTGAAATTGAAAACTGGAAGCGGTTGAAAGTAAAAACTGGAGGTGAATGGTAATTTTTGGGGGGCTGATCCTCGGCTTAAATAGAGATTAAAAGAGGGCGGGTCTTGGCAAAAAACTCAAAAAATGCGAACTTGAAAAATAATGCTTAATAGATTATAGAAAACCAAATGTGTAGAGAGAACGGGGCAGAGAAGACAATCGGAAAAAACAATAGGAAAAATTTAAGTTGTGACAGGCGCAAACTGTCACTAAAAAATAGAGAGAAAAAATTTTGGCGGGAAAAAGGTTTAAAAAGATTGAGTGGACAATGAAAAAAATAAAGGGTGAACGGCTAAAAAATTAACGAGGAGTGAACGGGGGACAATTTAAAAAAGAGACAATTCAATGAAAAGTCGCCAAAATTGGCGACAACAATCATTCAATCTTTTACAAAAGATGGGACGTCAACTTGGATACCTTTTCATAAGCAGGTGATTTTTTACGAGCTTAAAAACTTGTTTGAAACGAACAATAAAACTTGATGTTTTTATAAAACTTAAAAAACTTTGTCTAATGTTTAGTTAAAATTAAATAAACTTGAAGTAAACTTGAAAATTAAATAAACTTGAACCTTGGTCTTTTAAAACCTACAAACTTAAGTTTGCGAATATGCATTTCTAATTTTCTAAATTTTTTAAGAGGCAACGAAATCCCAGGTTCGATACTCCAACAAATTCTGACCGTTTAAAAACCATCCATAATCACCAACACCAACGAGAGCGAGTTCAAGTCACAGATGAACAACTTAGATTTGAAGTAATAATGCTTGAGGTGCCTTCAAAAATTAATTAATAAAATAGATTAAAAATTAAAAGGATGCTGGAGAATATATTTGTAGTGTAGATGGTGTTGAAGCTAAACTTAATTTATCTGTCCATTCACCTACCATTCAAATTAAACCTGTTGAAATAGGTTCTCATTATGTTGCGTTAGTATGGAATGATTCTTTAAAAGTTGGAAATTATTTTTTTAGAAATTCAAAAAATTTATTTAGATACGCGCTTTGGAAAGAGTTCAGTTATCTCTTCAAATTAGAGATTCAATTACTGGGCAAACCGGTAGAATCACACAACTATCTCTTTACAATCCTTGGCATAGCTACAATGTTGTTAGACTTCGTCCACTTACTGTTAGTTGAAAAACATTTTTTAGAAATTTTATTTCTTAACTAAACATCTACAAAACTTTCAAAACATCTTAACTTTAAAAAATCACATCTATTAATATGTTTCTAATCTATTAATATTCATGAGGTTCAAAACATTAAAAAGATGTTTCACAAACATCTAATAAATCTCATTAAAACACCAAAACAATTATTAGGTTATATTACTTATAAAATATCGTATTTACTCGAATAATTCCCCTCTCTCGGATAATTCCTCCTGCTACGAATGAATTGAAACAATAATCCCCCTCGCCCAAATACCCTTCTACACATTCAAATTTCAAAACCCGAATAATTTCCCTCCATTGAATAATTCTCCATGCCACAGATGAGCAAACATTCTTTAAAATTTTTCAAGAAAACCTTTTTCAAAAAATCAAAAAGTACTCATTTTCAGAACTACACAATTTGCCTTGTCTACAGCTTACGCTCAATTGAATCAAATAGTGATGTACACAATACCAACATAGATTCTTCTGCTAAATTATTATACAAGAGTTGTATTGATGTTAAAACCTTAGAACAAATGGGATTTTGGTAGAAAATTAATTTTAAATAAAAAAGTTTGAAATTAAATTTTAAAGGTCCTCCCTTAGTCCAACAACTATTGTTATTTTTTGTATTTTAATTTTTATTTGTTGCTTTCTTTTCTGTTTCCGTGCAATTTATATGCATTTTTATATATGGCACGATGCGAAAATGCGGTGATTATTAAAAACTTTTATTTTAAAATTATTTTTTAAAGCGCCCGAATGAATCAAAGCATGAGCGGACAAAGTTTTCTTTCACATTCTTCTTCCCTTCCATTACCCACAACAACGAATTCAAACGGGATAAATAATGGTCATAATTCAGGTAGAAACAAACTTAAGTTAAACAAATTATTAAACAAACAAAACATTTAAATTTCATATAAAACTTGTTCATAAACTTATAAACAAGTTCACAGCAAAATTAATAAAATGTTCATTTCATTTATAAAACATTAATAAAACATGTTTCAAAACATTCCTTAAAACATTGTTTAGAATTTTAATAAAACACGATCAGGAATTCTATAAAAACATGTTCATATTATTATTAAAACATGTTCTTTCTAAAACATGTTCAGATTATTAATAAAACATGTTCTTTCTAAAACATGTTCAGATTATTATCTAAACATGTTCAGAACTTTAGTAAAACATGTTCATACTATTATTAAAACATGTTTAGTCGCTTAATAAAACGTGCTTAAACCATTAATAAAACATGTTTAGAATATTTTTAAAACATGTTCAGAATATTATCTAAACATGTTTAGTTACATGTTTTTCTCAATAAAACAACAAATTAAATTATTTAAGGCACACTAACTCACCCCAATGAAACATTTTTTGATTCAAATTCGGCAACACTAAACAAAACATCATTAATTACCGAAACAGCCTCGGAAAGTTTGAACAAAAAAAGTTCAATAAATAAATTGTCCAAAATAAAAAGAAAATCAAAACTATCATCAAAACAACAAACAAGAGGGAATTCAATGTTTTTAATGGAAAATTCAGGGGAAGAGAAACATTTAAATAAATCAACAGAAAATATTGCTTTGTGTTAATTTTTAAATTATAAATTATTTTTTGTTTTAATTAATTTATAATTTAAATAAATTACTTCTAGTCAATTAAAATAAATTTTTTTTAATTTAATTTTTTTAAAAATTATTTTTATTTAATAATATGTATTAAAAAATAATTTCAAAACAATTAAAAATTATACCTTAATAAATCAAAATTGTACATAAATCGAGTTTATGTCGATCCCCGTTATATCTGCAGGTATAAATTTAGATTCTGATTATTTATGTAATCATGGTAGATAAAGATAAGTCATTAATGTATCAAACATGGAAGCTAAAATGTAAAAGTACTATAAGAGGTGGAGTAGAATATGAAAATAATTGTTTCGAAGGTGATTGTATTCTCGAAGGTAATTCCTGCGACGTTGAAGGCGACAAGTACCTTAAAAATACATACCGTATTTTCTCGATTAATTCCCCTGGGGAATTATTTTTCCAACCCTTCCTTGGCACGGGAATTAATCGCTAGGGGGGGGGTTATTCGAGTTTTGGCATTTGAACGTGCAGTAGGGTATTTAGGGGTGGGGAATTATTGTTTCAACTCAACTCTACCCTGAATTATTAATCGAGAGGAGGAGTTATTCGAGGGAGGGGAATTAATCGAGAAAATACGGTATACAGCTAAGAAATACATATAAAATACATATACAACTAAAACAGAAAGAATAATCTAAAAATTTGTTCCATACAATTGAGATAAAGCCACTTTATTGTTAATGTCATATGACACTTTCCACATGACAGAACGCGATACTTTTTTATTTAAACAACAAATGAAGCATTTTTAGATTTAATTCTTAAATTTTTATTTGTTTTAAATTTAGGGCCATATATTTATTGCCGTTTAAATAATAAAAAGTCAAATAAAAAAATCTGAATCAATTTTTGGCTGTAGTGTAGTTCACCGGAGGTAAAAGTTCGGGACGAGACATATGTCATTCGATTCGTCTCAACGAGCTGAGTCGAACGGTACCACTCCCAGTTTCAGGAAATGATTCTGGACCGAGTTATAGGTCCCGAAAAATCGAAAACCAAAGGGGGGACCAAGCACTTTTTTGGGGTGAAAAATTCGAATATGCAAATTATACCTCATTCGAAAGAGCTCATCGAGCTGAGTCGAATGACACCAAAATCAACGAAATCTGACTTGATTCGACAAAGTTATGATCCTTTATTTTAGCTCCTTACCTATGGCATCTGTGGAGATTTTTGCTGCTACGGAGGCCCTAAATACGTCCAGAGCAAGGGAGATAGGAATAGGTTTATGTTACGAGCCCAGACCCACCGCCCGTTGACTCCCCGCGAGGCGAGTGCCGCAAAACCCCGCGCGAAGCGCGGGGTTTTGCACAAGCGCCTCGCCGACGCCCCATAGGTTTATGTTGTTTGTTTTTCTATTGTAACTTTGTCCAAACTTTTACAATCAAGCTGATTTTGGTGTCATTCGACTCAGCTCGACGAGCTCGTTCGAATGAGTTCTAATTTGCATATTCGAATTTTTCACCCCAAAAAAGTGCTTGGTCCCCCCTTTGGTTTTTCGACTTTTCGGGACCTATAACTCGGTCCACAATCATTTCCTGAAACTGGGAGTGGTACCGTTCGACTCAGCTCGTTGAGACGAATCGAATGACATATATCTCATCCCGAACTTTTACCTCCGGTGAACTACACTATATCCCAATTTTTTTGAGAACGGCGTGAGCCAAAAGATTAGATTTGGCTCATTCTAAATTTAAGGGATTTTGGGAATAAAATGCTTTATATTTATTTAAACAGCTAAAAATAAATAACTGAATTTAAAAATTAATTATAGAAAAAAATTAGAAGCAAAAAATATATCTACAATTGGTCTTCAATTTTTATTCTTTTAAAAAAGATTTTTTAGGCTAAATTGGCCACTTCATTTTTAAATTTTATTTAATAATTTTCTTAATAAAAACACAACAGAAGCGTTTTACAGTAAAAACTAACTGGAAAACTATTCCTTAAAATTAATAAATATTTACCTAAATTTGAATTTAAATTTTTAGAAAATTTAAGATAAATTTTATAAATAATAACGTACCGTATTTTCTCGATTAATTTCCCCTCTCGATTAATTCCCCATGCTAGAGTTGGGTTGAAACAATAATTCCCCACCCCAAAATACCCTACTGCACATTCAAATGCCAAAACTCGATTAATTCCCCACCCTTGATTAATTCCCCATGCCAAGGAAGGGTTGAAAAAATAATTCCTCAGAGGAATTAATCGAGAAAATACGGTATTTGTGAAATCATTTTATTGAAAATTATGATTTATTTTATTCAAACACATTATCTTAATAATTAATCGTAATTTAGGATTAAGGTAGTATGTATTTTTATTTGAGCCGACGCTCGGTTCATTTTTTTCATAAGTGTTTTACAAGTCTAAAATTTTTCCTAATCAGGTGTCGGTCCGCAAGTGTGTCCCCAAAAGTATATTCAAAAATATGCATCAGATCTTAAATTTTTTTATATTTAAAATAATAATTTAAGAATTTAAATAAAAAATGTTTGCTTCTTCAACCAAAATTTGTTTATTTTTTATTTCAATTTTTTTATTATTCCAATTAAACAATAGTAAATGTGTTGATATTGATAATCCCTGTAGAGGAAATGGCAAGGGAAATTGTTGTGTTGGAAGTTGTGTTAAAGGAAAATGTTATTGTGCTGCATATGGTCTTAAATGTACAGGAAAGGGACAGGGCAATTGTTGTGCTGGAAGTTGTAATAATGGAATATGCTGTATTAATCAGGGACATGCCTGTGGTGACAGTAGTCATAATAAGAAATGCTGTCCAGGTACAAGTTGTGATGGATTTATTTGTGTTTGAAATGAAATGAGAAAAAGATGCGTATGAATGGGGATATAAAAATATTATTTGGCAAAGTAAAAACTTTTAATTTTCCTTTCTTAATTTGGCTGTTAAATTCTTTTCTATAAACTTACAAGGGATATAAAATTAAATGATAATAAAAAATTACATAGTATTTCATTTATTTAATAAAAATAAAAAGATAATTAATTTCGGTTTAAATTAAATTATATTATTTTCTTATGTGTATTTTTTAAAATAAAAAAAAATTGTAAAAGCTTATTTTAGCAGGTAATTGAAACTGAGGGTAAAACTTTATTAATTTTTGAATAAAATTTCAAAAAAATTAATTAACAATTCTATACTTTTATTTTTAAAATCACAAAGGCTTTACAATATTTTAGAAAAAATAAATAACAATATTAATGTATTTCGGCATTAATATCACTCCAATATTATAAACAAATTCCTTTTATTTATTTATACATTCCTTCAACCACCTCTTATACTTTCGGAGTTCCAGTCTTTCCCTTTCCTCCATCTGAACTGTTGACCAAAAATAAGCAAACTGAACAGCAAATAGTTGAGACAATCCTACAAAATTTTAATTTTATTTTTGAAAGTTTGTATGATTAAAGCTAAAGATTGGACTGAGACGGCATCTCGAACAAAAATCTCAGTTATCGAGTATTAAGATATTTTGTCGGTTTTGACTCTTCTACGACCCTTCCAGTCCACTCTCTAGTTATTTCAAAAAAATTCTTTAAGATAAACTTACAAGATAAGAATAGAGGCAGCAATCATTAAGGAAGTTAAGCTCCTTCCTGAAGATTTCGTACTAGCAATCCTTTTAATTTTTGAAATATTCTCCTCTTCATAGCTCGTTGAATCAATGGATTGTTGAAATATCGAAGTTTCAGTTGAAGTATCGAAAGTTTGACTTTTGGTCATTTCTTCTGAAGTTTTTGTTTGTTGCTTTTCGGTAGTCTGTTTTGTAGTTATAGTCGTTGTCTTTTTGTTTGGATTAAAAGGAACGAGAAGTTTATAGTCTTGACTTGACTAAATAAGATAAATTTTATTTCGTTTACACCCAAAATAACCTACAAATTTGACAAACATTTTCTCACATTTTTGCATTGTTGCTTCAAGATCACAATCTTCTCCACAATGCTCCCAAATATTTTGCATACTTTCTCTCATTGCTTTTACTGGAAGAATGTGGAAGGTTAAAAGATTTTGGTATTTTTGATCTATATAATTTGAATCCACAATTTTCCATCCTTCCGCACTGCGAATATTTTGCTTTTTGAAACAAGTTGTGTCATGAAACCATATACGTTTGCCGCAGAATTTGATTTTACTAGATCCTAATTTGAAGAATAAAATATCTATAGTTGCGCTTGAATCCTTCATTTTTGAGGTTTTCTCGCATGGGTATATACCAACTTCGCCAACTTTAAAAGAAATTTTTAATTAATATTCAGATTAGAGTTTTTACGTGGTTGGTAGCTTGCAATCACATTTCCATCTGACAAAGCCCATCCAAAGGAATAATCAACTATCTGCAAACATTTACCACCAGACCCAACACAACTTTTTTCTTCTCCATCTGCACAATCATTATTATTACCATACAAAGGCCCTTTCTTAATCCTATCGAATTCGCCGTTTTTTAGACTGAAGAAGAAGACCAATCTAAATAAATAAGAGTTGGGCAGTATTGGGATTCAGAGGAAAAATCGGTATCGGTAATTATGGAATGATGATACAGCTAACAAGCTCGGGACGGCGATTGGCCGTAACTTGTATCGTGATTTGGGCATCTCGGTATTAGTATCAGCAAAATATGTATCGCGATCAGGGCTGATCGAAATTTCGTTTCGTTTCGTTTCGTTTCGCTCTTTCGTGCCCTTTTTTCCATTTCGTTTCGTTTCGGAACGAAACAGAAAAAATTTTATTTCGTTTCGTTTCGAAACGAAATAGCCAAAATTCCGGACGAAACGAAACAAAAAAAAGTGAGAAAATGCACCCTTAATGACGTGAAATTATGGAATAAATCATCAATTTTTTAGTGATTTCTGTCTTATGAGCAGCCTAAAATTAAAAAATTTTCGCTTGCGGCGCTGAAAATGGAAGAAATTTGGCTTCTTGAGCTCCAACATTCAAAAAATTTTCGCCTGCGGCGCTAAAAAAGAAGCTTGTACGGGTTTTGCTAGAGCAAACCAGCCTTCCTTTGCCCAACCTACTATAGTCCTAATCTTCATTTTTGTGATCTAAAAATAATAAAAATTTTTGAAACCTAGATTTGAATATGCTTGAGTTGTACTCCAAATTGGTTTAATTAAGGATTAAGAGGGTTTTAAGATTTTGGAAGGCCAATGGGCAATATTTCTTAAAATTTTGAAAATTTTGGACTTGAAAATTATCGAAAATCGGAAATTTTTTCAAAATTTCGGAACTCGGAAGGAAAAAAACTTCGGAAATCGGAATTCCGACCCACCTCTGCTGCCTACTAAAATTTTTATTACTTTGAGCGGTGGATTAAAGGAGATCTCGAGGGATTCGTGATATAGAGGGAGATTTGGCAAGATTAAGGTGATATTGTGGTATTGACGAGATTAATGGGATATCGGAGGATTAAGGTGGATCTATGTCGATTTAAGGGGATTAAGGTGGATATCGGCAGATTTGTAGGGTCCACTCTTGTTTCTGTTATGTTTTTGTCACGCATCTAGCTCTTGGGGTGCATTTTTATGATTTAAATATCGATTAAAAGCTTTTATGAACTGAAAAATAAATATTTTTTAATTTTTATTTTATTTCGTTTATTTCGTTTCGTTTCGTCCGAAACAAGCTCATTTCGTTTC